ACACACACACACACACACACACACACACACACACACACACACACACATATGCTCACACATAATTGAGTTTTAATGCAAACTTGCTGACAGTTAAAATGTTGTACTCTTTCCAGTCAGAGATGCTGGGAAATGAAATGGTTTAATGCGCCCCCTGGTTCATGTTTATGGTCTGCTTCAGCTTGTGAGCATATTTTGTTTTTCTTGAACAGAATTGGATTTTGCTTGGTCTGTGGCACCTTTGGGGAAAATTTGTTCTTAAATGATCAAGCGTGGGACTTCTTTCAGCGCTCACATTTAGACAACTCCAGCGTTTCAGCTGTTTTGCCTCACATGTGTGCAGGTGTTTGTGAGATGTTCTCCTTTAGCGTCTTCTCACAGACAAGCTGGTGTGATGAGATGTGTAGAGTTGAGCAAATGTCTTCAACCTCAGCAAACAGACATTTAAAATCCAGAGCGTTGCAGTATTCCTTTACTTGAAATGAAAATTAAGATCTTTTAAAGTTGAAATATTATGTAGAATTAAATTTAATTCAATTCAGTTTATTTATATAGCACCAAGTCTCAACAGAAGTCATCTCAGGACAGTGAACAAAAACATTCACACGCATTATAAAAGCCACTTAGTAAAAGTTATCTCTTTAAATAAGCCAGTAGATTGATTTTAATGTTCACTTTGTTGCAGTCTTACTTCCTGAGTAAGCACAACTGCAACAGTGGAAAGGAAAAACTCTTGTTTAACAGGAAGAAACCTCCAGCAGAACCAGGCTCAGGACAAGCCTCCATCTGCTTCGACTGGCTGGGTTTGAGAGGAACAGGAAGGAGAAACAAATGGGCACAGAATGACAGGTCCAGGTGTACTTTTTATTGGAGAAAAGATAAAAAAAAACACATGTTGCTAGAAATAATTACAAATACAGAGACGTAAAGACAACAGCAGAGTGAGGAAATTGTTCAATTTGTCCTCCAGCAGGGATAGCTCAGGAAACCCAAGCCAACCCTAAATGCATGGAGCAGTTTTTCTGCATTATTTATGGACAAGATTAATAATTGTTAACATCTTTACAGCGATGTGAAGGTTTATAAGAAAGGGTTTGCATGAATCTATATGAAGTAATTAGAACTGGAGTTTCAATATGTTTTGCCCGCACTTGGACTAACCTTTTCTTGCCAATCTGGTCCAATATAAACTAAACCTTTGATTTTTTTTCTCCTTCTAAAATGATTTGTTGATTTGAGTTAAAAAGCATGTTGACCTTTAAATAATTGTCCAGAGTCAAACCGCATCAGCCTTTTTATACGTTAATCACAAAGCCTGTGTTAAAGTGTGAATGTGGAAGTGGTACTTTATGATTAGCTTATTATCTCCCTGTGCTCCCACAGCTGCCTTTAATGCAGCCAGCCATGAAGGAATATGTCATTAGAAAGTCAATAACTTTCCCAAACTTCGTTTTTTAATGTTCAATTTTAAACTCATGCAGAAGCAGCTTAATATGCCAGACAACTTTTCAAAAACAAGAATGAAATAATGAGTTCTGAGCTGAGCCTATTTGATGGATTCATTCTCAGAATGTTCCCAACATGCTTGAAGTGCAGTGCCATTTGTAATGTGTTTTCTTTTTATTAAACCTTCACTCTCTGCTTTCTGACAGCAATAGCTGGTCATCACGAGGTAAAACAAGGAGTCTATATAAAGTTGCTGGAAAGCTTATTGATCTCTGCATCAGTTTGCTGCTAATATTGTCTGAGCTCATCTCTTTGTCTGGGGTTGACTGGATTAAGAGGATGAAGTCTGCAGACTCTGTGCTGTCTTTGTTCCTATCATATTAAGAAGAGAGATATTTCAGGAATGTGAATTGAATTTGTGTCATCTGTAGGAGTCTAATGAGATGTCAGAGGGGAACGCCAGGAGGATTGTTGTTGTAAATAATTGGTCCCGAATGAAAACAGCCGCACTGATCAAAAAGTTGCTTTCAGCTGAATCTCTCACCTAATGTGGACTTCAGGAAGTTTCGTTTTCCTCACGAGGATCTACATGTAGATCATTTTGTTATCACTGTAGAAAAAAGCAGCTGAATTTGTGAATTGCTCAAATTATGCAATTTTGAAATGAACAGATTTTCTATCTTAGTTTTTTTTATGTAAATAAATAGTCAAAAATTGCAAAGGAAAACAAAACAGCCAAATTCAATTCAATCCATCCATCCATCCATCCATCCATCCATTTTCTTCCATTTGTTCTGAAGTTGGGTCACGAGGACAGCATCTTGAGCAGGGAGGCCCAGACATCTCCTTCAGCTTTACTGGAAAGACTCCAAGTTGTTCCCAGGCCACCGAGAGATGTAGTCTCTTGAGGGTGTCCTGGGTTTTCCCTGGTGTCTCCTCCCAGTCGGACATGCCTGACGCACATCCCTAGGGAGGTGCCCAGGGAGCATCCTTACCTTAGGGTCCTCCCAGAAGAGCTGGAAAAGGTGGGTGTGGAAAGACCTGGACCAGGACCTCCCTGCTCAAGCTGCTGGCCCCTAGACCTGAGTCCAGAACAAGATGATGGATGGATGGATGGATGGATGGATGGATGGATGGATGGATGGAT